AGTCTTCTGTCACCTTTCTACATCTTTCCTCCTCAGGATGAGCACTGAAAGCTGGCGATTTCAACCCTGGGATTGTGTGGTTTGGGTTTTTGTTTGGGGTTTTTTTTGGGGGGGGGGGGTTTTGGGGTTTTTTTTCCCCTATGTTTGTAAGTTTAGTAAAGACAATTCTAAATACTGCTTTGTGTGAGGAGTACAACATATGAGAAAGATCAACGCTGCAGCATTCTGAGAGTGCAACTTGAATAACACCCTCTGGAAAAAAAATTAATACAGAAAAAGTTCTCCAGAAAGTTATAGAAAAATAGGAGTTAGTAAAGTTACACAGAGGTGTTCAATCACAGACAAGTCTAACTCAGGGGTGGTGGAGTGGGGGTGGAAATCAACATTTTAAATTGTGCCAGAAATGAAGTCATCTGACCTCAAAACCAGCTGAAGTTCAGAGCAGTTTTAATCCTTTAAGAAACCAGTTGAAAGGCCATGAAATAACTACTATGGCAACATAATTCTTCCAAGTATGAGTTTTGCTATGAGAAGTGCAAGAAATTCTTGTCGCTAAAAAGAGTTGCCAGATTTACTTAGGCCAATCCTACTCAGAACTCAAGTGAGGAAAATAAATTGCAAAGCTTTTTCCCCCCCAACAGACCCAGAGTTACTGGGCTTTATATATGCGACACTGTTTATTTTAGAATAGCAAACAATGGTAAGCCAAATTCATTCTGACCTACAGAGAAACATTTCTATTCATTAGACCTATGAAAGGAGAAGAGTTGTTTTTGCAGACAAAAAGACGGGGTATCTAGTTAAAGCTGAAGATATCCTAAGTAATTTCATACCTAGCCAACCTCCAGCTGAAGCAGGTGGAGAATATTAGATCAACAAAAGATAGCATTTAGCTGATAATACCATAGGAGCTGCATACCTGCAGTTTTACATTTACAAGAAGTACCACCACTTTGACTTCCAGTGATACACTTAAACCTTGCAATCCAGAAGTTGAAAAAGCAGGAGCTGCTCCTTTCCATCATCAACTTTGCACCACCCACCTACCCCCGCAACAGACTCTCCATTCTCTGAGCTGAGTTCAACACAGCCTAGATACAAGTGATAGTTTCTGAATTCAAACAATATCAGACTATAGGTCTCAAACAAAATTTAAAATAATCTCGAGACTGGTCTATCTTGTGATAAATGCCATCTCTCAAGACCTACTGGCACACTCTGTTACTACAAGTCAAATCAGGGAGAATGTGCACATGTCAAGAGGCAGAGGCAGACAGCTGGTGGGATTTTAAGGACTGCAGTTCCTGGGTAGTGTTAGAGATAACCAAAAGGGAAATGCAGGAAACCCAAGGCAATGTGCACACAGTGTGTGCTGTGATAGAAAACAGTTATATACCCACCCAGCTATTTTGTTGCTGAATGCTCCATATAATCCTGACGATGTAGGACACCAGTGATGCATGGGAAGTTTCTAAAATTCTAGTTGATCACCAACTTTTTTGAAGTCTCTCTTAATAAAGGACTAGTGCAGATTGGAATCTGCATGCTTAGTTCAGTGACTCATGTTATACCACATCAAGATCATAGATGAGGAATGTTAAAACATGAAAAAACGTTTCAAAGAAAATAGAACAAATTACTTTTTCCCATGAGTACCAAACCAGCTATTTCATCTCCCTTAAGCTTTGTTCTGCCATGTCAACTACTAGACTAAGATTTTCTAAGAGTAAAGACTATTTTTGCTTATTAGTTCCAGAAGATAACATGAAGACTAGCAAAAATTGGATTGCAGGTGATATATTTCCAAGTACTTAGGGAAGAATATATTCAAAGGAATTAACAACAAAATACTCAAGGCATCCAGCCTACCTGGTAACTGCTTCCTTTCCAAAACTTCTTCATCTCTTTGCGCCTCCAAGCAACAAGTGAGCTAGTAATGAGTGTACATGGTACAAGATAGAGAAGGGCAGGTTGTCCCATCTTCATTAATGCCAAGACAATGAAAGTCAGCACCATACCAATGGCATAAGCTATAAAAAGATATTTATATGTACACAGTCAAGAACAGGTGAATTTTTAAATTGTCACTCATTTAGTAAGCCAGAATTATTAATTTTTTATAAAGTAATATCTTCCTTGATAATATAATTGAAGAAAAGAGGGACAGTAAGTTGCTCTCTATTTGCAAGCTTTCTCAAAGCAACTGACTACCCTAAAGAATACTCACCTTAAATATGGGCAGGCATATTAAAAAGATATTATAAAGAGATTCTTGACAACATTGAACCTTTAACTGAAGAAAACTATCTAGTTCTGCCATTTAAAAAAGCTAGCATGAAGATCAACATTACTGAAATATCTCATGATTTACCTATTGTACAGGAAATGTAGTATACAGAAGATGAACTTGTTTGAACATCAAATCTTCGACAATAAGCAACCAGAAGCCCTTGAAGAAAAAAGAAAAAAAAAAAAAAAAGAAATATTTTATTCCCATTTATTTCTGGAAAGCCAAGAACCAGTTTAAGAAATCCTACAGTAAGTCTTGAAAATCGAAGCCATAATGGAAATATGAGCCAAGTGAGCTTGGTATTAAAAGGTTTTGTGTTTTTAAGCAAGCTAATTATATTGTGCTATTTTCAATTTTCTAATACAGAAAAATAACAACCTAATTTTAATACTTTTCTTCAATCGGATTTTAATGCTCGCTCTTAGCAAATTTGCCTGCACACTGTTCATGAGATGGTACTTCGTGCCTGACTTAAGTAATTTGCTCAAGACTCGAACTATGGCAAAATTCAGCTCTTCTGAAAAAGATGAAAAAACTTGATAATACGTTTTCCGTTATGTCAGCTCTAATTAGGTAGTCTAGGATACAAAAATATTTTGAAGTCACAGAATACTTGCTTTCTGTGCGATTTCAATGAGATTTAATTAATACTGACAACTGGATTTATCTGTGGGACTTGCATTTACACAACACGGTGCAACAGAAAAGCAAAACTCCTTTACTATTTAAGTGTTCTGTAACATACTAAGCTTTCTTATATTGCGGCTTTTGTTGTATTCTGCACTGACAGATCAAGGCAAACTGCATTTGATTTAGTAATTACTTTGTAGAATAAAAGTCAGTTGAGGATCAAACCTAAAATATTTAATCATAAGTTACAATTGCCAAAAACATTTGCTCACCTGGGACAATAATGTCTCCAAAACCCAACAATGAAAATGGCATGTCACACAGTGTCGATGCAGAGTATTCAAGTCTAGGCACTCTAATAACCACAGGTAACTGTAAAACAGTATTTCAGAAGCCCACATAAATCTAATCTAAAGCATCCTGGTATTTTGGATTTTTTGTTTGCTTAAATTAATAAACACTTTTAATATTATTAATTTATTGTTAATGCAGAACTTCACAAAATAGGTAGAACCTAAAGTAAAAAACAGAAACCAACATAGAGAGTGGATAAAGCTTAGGCAACAGGTAAGCTAGAATTTCAGATTTACAAATAATATGCACACACCAAGAAGTTATGACAAAATTTAACCATATAATGGGAGTAACAAATCTGGATTATTAACCTAACTATAGAGTATTGATCAATGATATCCAGGCCCTGAAGAGAAATTTGGACAATCAGGTTTTCCCCAAAAGAATAGTCTTTTCAGAGGGAATAATTTAAAAATCCAGTATCTGAAATACAATCCTTACTTTCTCATGGGGAGCTGAGCGTTCAGTAGGGACTTCCACCAAGTTTCCATCATTCTAGGATCAAACCCAAGTCAACAGGTATTTAATATTTAAAAGAAAATAGCAGAAGCTGGCTACATTTTGTGAGAAAGTTATGCCGAAAAGCACACTATGAATTAGCTACGTAGTGTCAGTATTTTTATGTTGCACATATTAAAACAACTGTTCATACCTTTTCACTGTTTCCAAAAGGACCAGCTGCAACTTCAACCATTATACTTGCCCCATTCTGAAATTAAGGTTATTTTTCAAAAGTCAGTGGTTTAATATACCAAAACATTCATACTACATTTACAAAAACTGCTTGTACCTCATCTTACAATTCAGGATTGGAAAAATCCTGACTATCAAAAGGAATGCACTAGGATCATACAGTATTGTACAGTATTGTTTTGCATTAAAAACATGTAGTCCAGCCTAAAATAACCATTAAAAAAAAACCCAAACAACAAATCCACTAGATGTAGCTGGAAGTTTAGATAAAAACATGTCAGCTTTTTCTGCCACGAGCTTTCTGCTTCAGAATAAAAGAAGGTATGCTTGCATACAGTTCATACTACACTGCAAATGAGCACTGCAGAAAGGACTAGAGCATGTTCCAATATATGGGTGTTAAAAGCAAAAGAAGCAAGAAAACTAGAGGACAGTAATTCATCATCATGCTGTCACACAATTGGGGACAGCCTACTTTTGGCCATGTGATTGCTGAAAACTTAAGTCATTTAACAAAATTTATGGCACCTACACAAGCATTACACTCTATGGCCCATACAAGATGAAAATTTAGGCCACTGCTGTCTTAAAAGGGGAAAAAGAAAAGGAAGTCAGCATTTCTGCATCACGAATATTGAAAACGCTAATCTGTTTGACAAAAATACTGCCCCAATGGCCAGACAACATTTTTGGTTTTATTTTAAATTCACAGACATACCTTTGTGATAAATGGCGTTATGAAGACAAAAAACACATCATATAGAAGGAGAAGGCCTAGAAGTATCACACAGGACTGGCAAAAAAAGGAAGAAAATATTACCATAGGTTTTCAAGGACTGCATAGCTAGATTCTGGTACTATAACTGTACCACCATGGTAAAAAAATAAAAAATAAAAAAAAAGGAAGAAGAAACACCCCTCCCCACCATGTTTTTATTCTGGCATAACATTTAGAACAGGATTAATTTCTTTAAATATTTAAAATGGTAAAGATTTTTTTTTAATATGTATTTCTTGAGTGTTGAAAACCTATTTCCTGACACTAAAATTACAGATTCATGGCTTTAGAATACTTTCTTAAGGTAAGCAACTTACAGTACCTTGAAGTTGGGCATTTTCAGTGTTTTAATAAAGTTTAGGCAGAAAGCAACTCCCAAAATATCTTGCAAAATCCAAGCCCACCTAAAAATAAGAACACATTTTACACATTGTTCAAACTACTGCTGGAATCTAAATGCAATAACAATTTCAGATTTTACTGGAAATAGCAAGATGACAAAATGGATTGGAAAGCAAGAAATTAGTTTTTAGGAAGTACTGCTACCAAAACCACAAAAATACTAGTTTCAAGATGGTCAGCTTACACTAGCCTCTGATCATAAATAGGTAACTGCTCTTCATCAGCATACTACAGAGAAGATGAGTTGAACAGAGGCCATAACAGGGCCTTGGTGTTCACTTGTATGATTGCTCACTTGATTGGAACCCCTACTTAACATCTGGCTTAAGATGCTACTTAGGACTGTACTATAATATTTGTGTATTTGTGGTCCCATGTATCCACTGGACCATAGGAAGTATAGGTCCTATGGTCCCTATGGTATTTTTGCACTTTTTTGTCTTCTGTGGCAATTATTAGCAATCAAGCTAGTTCTTCCTCATCCTCCTATTTTTTTGTAACTTCAAATTACCACAGAGTTCATTTGTATAGCTTTGTTCTCTATAATTCCCATACTTGTTAAACTTCATAATACTTTCATGACTTTTTTGGCATCAGGACTGGAGTTTAGAAGGATGCTGTGCTCCAGGATTAGTTACATGATGGGAAGTTCATTAGTGACAATTACTCATTTTACTCTTAAGTCAGAATGCATTGCTTACCTATCTTCATTTCGAAACACCGCCCAGACAACAGCTGCTGCTATGCAGAATACAGCAAGAAAAATAAGCCTCACTTCAATGTTTTTGTTGCAACATGCAATCCTAAAAGAAAATAATTAAATTAAAAAAGAAATCCTGCAACAGACAAAATGCATGCCTGTGCTATCATGGGTCCTTAAGCTGACATGGTGTTCTCATCCTGAGAGCTTCTCCTTTGCCCATTTGTTCCATCCAGACTCAGGTGGCATTATTCTTGCAACTGTAGTACCAGTCCTTCTCTGGGCTGCATTAAAAACATGCCCACAGATAGTAAGCCAAGTTGGGCTTTGATGGCCAGTCCTCATATTAGCAAATACATCCAGGGAAGGCAGCAACCAGATGAATTTATTTAATCCACTTCTGTCACGTAACAATTATGCCAACAGAACTATGTCAGTGAGGGACAGTCATATCATAATTCCTGAAATGGGTGGTGGTGGGGAAAATCAGTTTTAGGACACATAATACAAGATTTAAAAATGGAATAACTATGTATTGCAAAATTATGAGTCAGTATCTGTTTCCACTGCCTACTCAATTTTCTGGGACAGTTCTTGAACTGGTATTAACTGACAGAAGTAATGCCTGTCCTGCAGCTTACACAAAACCTGCTGTCTTTTCTACCTGATCTCTACCTTTGATGGGCTACTGGATCACCTGGCACTAACATCCTGTACTATCCTATGCAAACACCATCCTAGGCTTCCAAGCTTATAAGCATTGTTCTTTTGGGGAAAAGAAATATTTGTTGCATTAAACATAAGGGTTTTTTAAAGTGGAAAATACAGGGGAGAAAAACAGGGACACTCCCATACTCACTAATACCTGCAGGACACTTAACTCTGAGCAGTAAGAGGAGGCTATCTGTACACTGATAACGCACTACCCGGAGTTAGGACTGTAACTGCTAACTTCTAACACAGAGGACATGAGCAATGTGTTGCCTTCGCAAGGAAGTTAAAACTTGGGTCTGTCACAGGTACAGTAGAGATTAAAATAAGGGGGGGGGGGGGAACCCCCTTTTTTGCCTATAGCATAGTACTTGCTCAAAACAGGATCTCATGTGCAGGATTCCCCCTTATGGAGTTCCTTGATGAACAAAGTAAGCACATCCTACAGGCAATCAGAATTTTGTAAAACCTAGCTCAGACAGCCAAGCAGAGCCTTTCAAGTTTGATTATAGCAATGCTTTCAAATAAAGGTAATGCAGCAAGCCTCCCATAACGCTATTTTAACTGTTGATTATGCTACAGATACCTTTAATATCTATTAAAGGAACTTCTAATTTTCTTTTTTAACAATCACACACACACACTAAACCATACAAGAAACAACTTGTCAAACTGTTCTCATTTTTTCACACTACCTTGAGTAGCAACCAGAAAACACCCAAAAGAAACCTTACATTCATAATAATTTAAAGGTGTACTATACCTGCACTGCCCAAAAGGTATTTCTCCTATCAATGCTGCAAGACAGTTGTATAGACTCATTGCAGATGCCAAGCAGAAGACTGATATTATAACATACACTAAATAAGAAGAATGGAAGATAGGAATCAGTGACAAAATACAATAGAAAAAAATTGCAAACAGGAATCAAACACAATGATGTACATTTGATATAAACTGTTAATAGTTATAGCACTGCTCGACACAGTCATTGGAGACTATAGTCAGCTGATTACAGAAAGTGCTGAATTCTGAGCATCTCTGCCATGACAAGAGTTCTCATCAAGGAAAGACCTGAGTTTTGAAATTTTTTAACTGAAAAACATTTTTTTTTCCTCCCTTTAAGAAGAAATATGTCATCTGTTACTGCTTTCACATACTTTTATTTTGTTAAGGCTAAAACCAAAGTGATATTTTACAACTGCCAGTTTTCTCAATTTCTGATAATACTCCTCACTTCAAATTTTCCCTTTAATCACTTTGCCTGCTTATGCATAAAAATTTTAGCATCCCCAAGATCTGACTGAAGATTTACGTGGCATTTTAAGACAAGAAACACCCCATGCCTTCCAAAAAAATTCTGTGTAGTTAGGAACCACCTGGTTAGGAAAGAACTCAATATGCCATGTTCTAACTTATAGTATATTATGTATTCTAACTTATGGTAAGCACCTTGAAATGTGGACAAACAATAAAATCAGTTGTTCTGCTAGTTGGGGTTTGGGGTTTTGGGTGGGGTTTTTCTGGTAGGGAAGGTCTGGCTAGAAAGCAATTCTGATACCTATAAGGAGATTACTGAAAAAACAGGCAAGAAAGGTGGATTTTATAGTTGTAACCAAGATCGTGCGCCATTAGGATCTGTTAAGCCTCCAACAGGCAAAACAAGTTTTGCACAACAGGTTCCTCTGAAGTCAGTAAGAAATCAGCTGTTTAGGAAATCTAAAATTTTGAGGCAACAATGCAGAATTAATAATGCCCGAATACTTACGAAAAGAGATACAGAGAACTCCATCACAGAGCTCAGCTTTGCAACTGGCTTTGTGCTGGAAACACTCCCTCCCTAGTACTTTGGTTACAGAATTGATCTTAACCCCAAGTACTGATATTACAACTTAACATTCACACACTACAGTAGTGACATATCAAAGCGGGGTTTTTTTGGTTACTTGTTTTTAATTAAATACAGATTTTTCCCTGGGACAGCATATCATACCATGGTAACAGCTTTTTTACCTCCAAGAAATTTCATATATGTCTGCTCCAAAGGGCACAAAACTAAGGCTTCTTAGCAAAAACCTCCTATGTATTTTCTTGGAACCGTTCACATTTCTCCCTCCCCCTAACTAATTTGTTACCCCTCTCCCTTTCTCCTTTAAGAGGTCTCTTTCTTCACTTCTTCCTAAATCTCACCTGAAACACCTCAGAGTAAACAGGGGACATTTCTAACCTAAACCTTTTGATCACATCAAAAGTCTTTTAGTGGGACAAGTTTAGTAAACATAGCAATGCCCATAGCGAAGATAACAAAAGCTAAACAAAATCAGAAGTCAGGATGGTGAAGTTTCTTTTGCAGAAGCAGGAGGTTAACTGGTAACAAATTCTAGGAAAGAGTGAATTTAGGAAGCTTTCAGAATTAAAGTTACATTGTTTATACCAAAAAGTATAATTTAAAACAGTGTACATTTTCTGGTTGCATGATTTGAGGGCAGAAAAAAACCCCAACCAACAGTTTGGAAACTATATTTTACTGGAATTACATGATTCAAGAACTTAGCTTATTGCTAGTATGCTTGAGTTCATTCTATTATGGTAATGCCATTTTGCCTGGTACTTTAGTTAGGGCACTGCAACCACAAACTCAACATCAATGCAGCAATACTGAACAAAAACTTTCACTCTAAACACTACTAAGTTATCATTGCCATCCTCCCAAGAACACTGACATACATCAAATACGTTTTTTACTAGTCACTAGTCACCTCTCCTCCATGTTACTTCATTCAGAATAAGCACTGTCAAGGCAGCCTTTGTAAGAGAGCAGAGGAAAGCTTCTCTCTTAAGTAACAACTACATCTTTTCAACCCTCAACTCATGCATGGAGAGAACAATTAAAAAAAATTACATTGTTTTTTGTTAAGATATCTAGCTTTTCAGACTTAGACACCTAATAAGATCATGCAGAAAAGTAAGTCAAACTAAATTATCCATTGTTTCTTACCTAACCATTTGTAGAAGAAATAAAGTAAGACCAGCATGACACAACAGATGACAACAAACAAGATAACTGTCACAGGGGTGAAAGTAACATTTTCTTCCTTCTTCCGTCTTGTTTCTCTCTCCCCAGGACTTGCTATTGCTTTCAAATTCTCACTGTTTTAAGAAAACAAATGCATTTACCTCAGATGACAGATGATGAAAATGTTTTACTATGACCAGAATTGTTGGTTATAAAGCATTTAGACTGACAGCATTTCAGTTTAATCCTTCATATCATTGTTAGACTTAAAAATACAGAAAAATGGTATGTTTATTGTTTGAATTTCTCTCCATTTTTTAATGGAGATATGCACTTCTAACCTAGCAGAGATTACAAGATAAAAGAATCTTAACTGCCCTCCTTTCCAGTTGTCTGGTGATTGCCAACTTTAAGGAGTACCCCAAACCAAAACCCTGACCCATGTGAGGAACAGCAGTCCAATATCAAAACTCTTAAACTCCTTTTCAGGATGCACGCACTCAACTCTTATTAGTGCATCACCTCTGACTACAAAATTTCTTGGGCTAAATGTAGTCAATCTGATCAATATGTCTATGATAAATCAAAATAATGGGTATTAACACACTGTTTTAAAACCTCAACTATAGACATTAAGTGTCTGCAAATCCCATTCATGTTAGCAGGATGAAGCTAGCTAACTACCAGTTCTTTTACCCTTACACCTCATAATTAGAGAGTAAGTGAAAGAGAGGGGGTGTAATTGGGGATTTTCACTGAGAGTATGATTTCTGTACATACACACTCCATATTTATACCTCACCATGCAAAATAAGGAGACTTAAATTGTTGTGTTTGTTCTTTGAGCAGATAGCTCTACTACTCTTTAGTACAGACGCTAGTGCAACTTGCCCATCAGATAGCATGTTCCTGACAAATCCCAGGACCTACCTACAAAATGCTGAATTCAGCACTGAAACCGCTACCTTCAAAAGAGAAAAACCCACAGGAATAAAGTACTTTGTTAGATGAATCACCTTCTCACTTTGAATAAGCAGCTTTTTAAAAAAAAGCTCACCCTAGTTTTATGAAAGTGCACTTTAAAAAGTTTAATATAATTACATCTAGGTATTTTTCAATATGGGAGACAACATCACATTTTGTTATTTTAGCATTCAGTGCAGCCACACCCTATAACACTGCAGGGTAAAAAAGAAGCATAATCAGATCCAACCTTTAAAAAAAGAAACACACACCCCCCCTTCTACTTCTTTAATCTCTTTAAAATCACTAGATTTGCATAACTAGTGGGAAAGAGGAAGCTGTTGTTATCACATACAATCCATTCCCTGTTGTTCTGGGGAGCAAAGCACTGGAACACCACTGAGATGGGAAACCCTAGGTAGCAACACACACTGGCCCATTCAGCATATGCAGGCATCCAAGAAATACTACAGAATAATACCATGCTCTGAAAGGCCAGCTATATCCAGTTTAACCCCAGACTAAAAACAGTTCTGTACATTGAGTGTGCTTCAGTTCACTAAACAAAGCCACACACCCCTCAAGCACAGTGCAGAAACCCCTACCAGCCCTCGTTTCCCTGCATTTGCCACTTTCTACACTCCCACTCTGTCCCCTTCCCTGCAAAGGGACTCCTGCTGCCTCCTTGCCCCTGCCTAGTCCTAGAGCTGCTATTGCCCCTGGCTCTGTTGCTCCACCAGACAACACACAAAGCTGAAGCAGATAAGCCTGGGTTGAACTTTAACTGTCTGAAGCCACCCAGACACAACCAGATCGCATTCCCCAGTGCTCCTAGTGACAGGAATACAGTGCAGAGACATCCCAGAGGGTGCTGGTCAGCCAGCTGGGAGGAAGCAGTTGTACAGATCCCTGCCAAAGCAGACACTACATACAACTACGTATGTACCTCTTGGATCACTGGATTTTAAAGGCATCTTTAAAATACCTAGGGTATTTGGTAATTTCTCAAAATGTTAACTCATTCCTCCTCCCAAGAGCTGCCTTAGCCCTCAGGGACTTTTACAATCTACTAGTCAAGGCTCCTGAAAGATCTATGGTGACTTTTCAAAGGTTGCAGTGCTCAAGCATTTCACGACAAAGCAGCTTACTGCACCTAGATCTTCTCTTCTTTTTAATTACCAACCTAAAAGAACATAATTTCTTACTGATCATAGTGACAGTTTTCACAAAATTTGTACTCCACGTAATTTAAGCAGTTCCGTTTAACAAACTTACAGTTCTGCTACTCCACTCCAATAGCCTCCTAGTGCCACTGTAAACACAGCAATTAGGAAGATGACAACCATACTGCAATCAAACTCTGGCAAAGGTGGTGAATACAGAGTCACATTAACTTCATTTCCAAGCATCTGAAAAATAACATACAAGTTGGTTCATAAGGACAATAAAGAAATTATATCGCCTATTTTCCAATAAGATGCCCATCATGACTTCCTGCTCTTAACCTACACAATGCTGAGAGCAAGTTTTCAACTTACTGCACAAGACATGCCACATATTTGCCTTGGTCATTGTAAAGAAGCAATGCTTTCCATGCTACCTTTCAGGATGGTCAGGTTTGAAAACAACCCTATTACTACTGCTGTGGAAATACATGGATACCACAAGGCAAAATGGTACTACTTTGCATTCTTTCAACACTTTTGTGCCTCTAGCCCAAGTGTTTTTCATCCCCCAAACATACCAAGTACTATCAAAGACATCTGCTCTGCAGGAAAGCCTATGTGAGTCAATCAGCTTTACATACAAACTCACAGGTCCACCAACATGTCAGCAGAGGTCTACCTCTAGCTCCTGAAACCACAAAACTCACAGTTGAGATACAGGCACAATGCTTCAGACAGGACACAGTGAAAACTCAAGGTGGCAGAAAGTTAGTAAACAGCAGCTTTACACGAACATGATTTGAGATGGATTCAAAAGAAAAGAAAGCAATTTCACACTACTTTAAAAATTTAAGACCAAAGTAAAAGAAAACAATCAGCTGAAGGACACTGAAGAAGATGGGAAGGAACATGGAGATATAACTGATACCGAATTGTACAAAAATCTTGAAAGCAAAACCAAGATGTTTACATTTGACTGAAAGGTGAGACTTAAGAAACAAAGAAAGGATAATAATTTGACAGGAAATGAAAGGTGGTAGGAAAGAAAGGTTTGCTGTTGTAGTCAAAGTCAGTCAAGGCATCTAAAGCAATCCTGCAGTGAACACACAACTTCAGAGATGCAGCAGTAAAACAGATTTGTTAACAGCCTGCATGTGGGATACAAGCGGGAGAGGAGATGAACATACCAGACAGGTTTGGCTACAGGAAGATCAAACTGGCAGTGGAGAGACTGAATGGGAAGCTATGTAGTGTAGTGGAATACACTGGCCATGTGTGAAGAAAGCTGATTCATTTCAGCATCTGAATTATCTAATTACAGATACTAACCTTACTGCAGGCTAAAGAAGTCAGAATAATTCCTTTGCCTGAAGTTATGGAAGTTCAGAAAACAAGAAAGTAAATTAAATTCTAGTGAAACATTGCAGTTGTATGAAGTGGAACATAACATTAGAAAAAGGAAAAAAAAAAGTATTCAAATTACAGCATCCTGTACGTAAAACAAAACCCCAAACCAAAACACAGACAGACACAAAAAAAGCGCCAAAAAACCCCAAGAAACCTAAAAGCTTATACATTTTTAGTATTCAATTCCAACATGTCTTAATCGAGTTTTCCCTTTAGGTTTCATAAATCTTATAAGTATAATTCACATTAGAATCCAGAGTGATTGTTTCCTTTTGTTCCTATTGTTCTGCTCTTCACTAAAAACTTGCAGAGTCTCAACTTCCACCACAGGGAGCACTAGAACCAAATACATCACATCAGGTAACTCTGCAAGAGAGCTGTCCACTTACTGGAAGGTTTGTAACACTCTGCTATCACTATCAGGACTCGTACTATACCTGACTCGAATGGTGAAAGCTAACAGAAATGAAGTCTTCTAACAAAAAGTAGAAAGAATGCTTATACAAACTAGCTGCCCTCAGACTGGTGCTGTCTCTTGTAAATAAAAGGAGAAAGTTAGAAGCCTTGAAAAGAGTTAAAACAGAAATACAACTGTAGTAGGAAGACTACAATGGCTGCCAGCTTCTAAGCAGCACATGCCATTCAAAACAACAGCTGCCAGTGACATGACAGAAGGCTTTGGCAAAAACTACATCAGAACTAGGAAAGGGTCACTTGTAGTCTAGGCTGTGTTCCTCACTACTTTCATGACTCACATTCTAAGACAAAACTGAATTCTTTGATTCAACAGCACTATGAGACATCACCTGGCACACTACTAGCAAAGTTACTTTGGTGGATTACTAGAGTTATACAGAAGTGATTCTACATGACACCACTCCAAGCAGCACTAGGCAATAAAGTGGTGCTGAGAAGATTCAGAACAAGTTAGGGATCTAATCTTGCCCTAGCTCCCTCTCATGTTAGTAGGACATATCTTAAACCACTCAGCTAAGCAAACACTACTTGTCTTACTTGAAGGAACAAATTTGAAGACAGAGGACAACCTGAACCAAAACACAGTATTCATCAAGACTACAGCAGATTGAGGATAGTCATCACAAACCTTCAGTCATGTCAGTGCTCGGCAAGAACCAATCTTTAATGGGAACAGACAGTAAACAACCAAAGTCCTATACATCTAGGCACCGTTTCAGTTTGCATACTTACCAAAGACAACCTCCCATGGCAGCTCTGAAGATTAAGAGCAGAAATGGTGAAGTGAGCTTGCAAATTCAATCCAAGAAGCTAAGACTACACAGGTCAGCACTAGCCTCTGCTATTCACAGAAAAACACGTGCAGTGCAACTCCTGCCTAGCAAAGCTATTTAACACCAAATAAAAAACAAAACAACAATAACAACAGAAAAGGCCACACTGAAGAAAAGATACTATTTTCTTTAAAACCCTCTGCAATATTCTGTATCCTAATATTACATGTCAAGGAAAACAAACTCCAAATACCCCCAAAACAAACTCCACTGCTTATAAAGTGTAGGAGATACCACAACTGACGCATTTTAATGACAAACGCTTGGCATCTCACCGTGAACTCATCAGCAGAAACTCGAACTATACTGCCTAACTGCTCTGTAACAGATGCTGTCATGCTGTAAAAGAGAGTGATCATCATCTGGCAAAGACAAAAAAAACCCTCACACCTTCCTCAAGATCCAACCTGATAAGGTACTGCTTGCCTGAAAGATATGCCAGTAGGTACAAGTTCAACTGTTCTACTGTCTGTGCTAAAGGAACAGCTCGCTCAGGCTATAGCTCCTGACGTATGTCAGGCCACTGCAACTGCATACAAGTCTACTGGAAGGCTGCTTATCTTGTTTACCAGCAAGACTTCTAAGATTACCCTCCCTCCAGTTAGGTATTACGTTTCCCATTCTTAGTTTTCTAATTAATCATTCTCTCAAATTAACCTGAATTAGGAAGACTAGGACTTCCATGACTTAATATCCATCCTCTCCCATGAAACTGAAAGCAGTATCTATGCACATTCAAATCACACAGACATCCAGATCTGACCTGAAATTATTTTATCTATTTGTCCAAAAACTTAAGTTTATACAAACCATAACATGTTGAAGTTTATTACTTACCAGCTGCATATCTACTATGTCATTGTATCTTATAAGAGCAACTGGAAGAGTTACATCTTCAAAATCAGTCTTGTTATCTGAAAGAGGAGACTAAAAGAGAAAGTGTCAATAAGTATGTTGAGCCTATTTGCAAAGCAGGTTAGATCCCCAAAAGCAGATTATCCTTTAAATTCCAGTATACGTGTAGCAAAAAAAAAAGTGCTCATTCATCACCTTTTGCAAAAGATTAATGAAGACAGATGTACTTAAATCAAAGCAGGTGATACTACCAACACATCTGGATTCATAAAGTTCTTGTGTTTTTATAGTATAACAAGGGATAATCAAAACTGGTTTTATTCTCTATGCTTTTAAAACAAGATTAACTTTTCATGATAATCACACAAATTCATAAATTGCAAAATTTGTACATGCATACTGCTGCTGTAAGAACAAAAAAGCAACAGAAGTACCTGTAAAGGTACCTCAAAATGCCTTTTTTAATTTCCAATTTTGGATTACATTTTCCTAGCTTATTTTTGTCACGTGTGTCTAAAACAGTATCACCTAAGATTACAGGGAGTTCAGAGTACACTCAAATTAGGGAATGACAAAGATAAGCATTTGCATTCAGAAACATGATTAAAGATACAAAGAGCAGATTAAAAATACAATTCAGCTGTAGATACTTTTAGATGACATAACACAGCATTGCACAGAGCTAACTTGGAACGACCCTCTGTCTCAGGAACAGCAGTCGCACCAACGCAGCACTCTGTGGGGAAGGTTAATGACTCATGCTGGAATCCCACACGTTGCCAGGGTCCTCTGCTGTTGGGGTTTCTCTCAGCTAACCCTGCACAACACTGCATCGGACCAAATAGGTAAGACACTATTTCACTACAGAAGAAAACTATATGTTGTAACTTACCAGCCTAGGTTTACTGGCAATCAACAGCATTTTAGCACCCAAACTTTGTGCAATTCTTGCTTTCTCCAAAGAAGTGCAGTTTCCTCTCATCACTACAACTGCTTTGTCCTTCATTAAGCCAGAAGGAACTTCAGAAGAACTGCAAAGTACTGTAGAAGTCAGGTTTTCCAGAGTCCTGGAAGTCTGCAGAGAGAAAAAGAACATGATAAAAGTAGGAAATTTGATACTGCAAACTCATCTAGAAGACTACTATGCTCCCTAATTTGAGGTTTGCCAGAAAGTGGTGTAACAGAAGGGAATCATTAATTCAGGAATATAAAATCAGAGCAGCAGTTTCTGCAGCCTGCAGTACTGAGGGACATTTAGAGCAGCATACAGCCAAAATATCTGGCTGTTTCTAAATGCAATTTCACAGCAGTTGTTGCTGTAATTTAAATGTAAGAAACTGGTTATATAGTAAAATCACTGCTTGCAGTTCTGGGGAATCCAGAGTACAGTCTGTGATATTTCCAGGCTTCACAAGCCAAAAGAACACTGAAGGATACAACATACCCAGAGTTCTGAAGTATAATACTTGTTCAAAAACAGTTGGTGAGGTTGATAACATACTACTTGTTACAAAAGAATAAAAAAAAAAAAAAAACCCAACTTGTATCCTTATTTCAAAGTTCAATTTCATATTGACAATTATTTTTAAATTATCATCAGTTTTCTTTGGTCAAGACATTCCAGTGGCCAAAGTAGCACAGCAAAGATGTTTGGGGCAGACAAATGATTTTTACTCTGTTTTACATTGAGTTAACCTGCTAATGAATGACAGGAGGGAAAAGAGAGAAGAGTGCCTTGATCACTTCCAAACACAAAGTATTTCCTGTTTATATGAAGAGTCCCTAAAGAAAATTTGTTTATGCTTCACACCCTAGTTTGGCTCAAAGAAATACACTCAAAAGATAACAGCGTGATGATACATTCCACATAATCTCCTATTCCACCACATTTTCAAGATAATTAAACAGAAGATCAAACTGATGAACCAATATAAGAAATCCGTTTCACAAGTTTACAACATTTTTGTCAACAAATAAACAGAAGTTTCACACCCAAATCTAAAACTCAGACATACTGACAACACCTGAAGAAAAAAACTAACAATATCAGATGAGTATGTAAACATATTTGAAACCGATTCTAAGCATAGAGAGAGCATGATCTTTGTAAACTTTAGAAGCTGACTTTCTAAAGTATAGAAATGTTTGCTACAGATATTTGGGGGGGGGGCGGACATGACCCAAAAAGGTAAATATTCATTGTAGCACCTATTTAACTCAAGATTTTGAAGACCACTTATAGCTGACCCAAATTCATTCTGCATTCTAGTTTTCTTAGGCAGTATGATTATAAACTACTTACAGCATTGTCCAGGCTCTTTGGAAGAGATATCCAATGAGAATTGTAAATTATGCAGTAATCCTTCGTTACTGGTGGTACACCACTTCCAGAAGCATGCAGGATCCCCTCATCTGCAGTTACCTGCAATAAACCAGGGTGTTCTGAATTAAACAAAGTTCAGAATATCAGTATACAGGCATTCTTCTAAAAAGCTGTTAGGAAGAAAAAGAGCTGTTCGAAGAAAAGGAATTTATTCAATTAATTATTTTATATAATGATTGAGTCCATGAGAGATGGGTAGCTTGAGAGCAAGATGGAAAACTAGTAAGAATCTAGTCACTGCATAATGCTGCTTATCCTCATTTCAAATACAATGTATTTGTTACATGTACAGTTCATGTCACCAAACAGAATCTCATCAAGAAACCTAGGCAAATGATTTCAGATTCTTTATTCTGTACTTTCCAAAAGTGTAAAATTTTACATAGAAAGCAATTAAAACAGTACATGGAAAAGTGGATTAAAGTCTTTCCCTCCTTGCAGAATCTAGAATTTCCCCTACTAATAAAGGTCTTATATGGCAATTCCTAGAATATTTTTTATCAAATAACTGTAAACACAAAGAGATCAACTAAATCTCTTAAGAAGAAGAACTTGCGTAGTTAAGGAAATACTGGTGTCTCTTAAGAGTACCCTCAGAGTGCCTCACATATTACGATTTCTGTTATTTACTAATACATATGAATTTTAAAACTTCTGATAATTTTAGGGATATATACTTCTCCCCAAGCATTAATATACTAATAAAGGCCAGGTATCTAAGTAGATAAATGAACAGACTAAGGACTAGATGTAGCTACAGCTGCAAAGTAGCGAAAACAAGTAAGTATCATTTGTATCTCAAAGAAGTGTCACCTTAAGGAAAACTGGGAGATGATCTCATTTTGACTTTTTCTTGAGAGAAACTGACCTCAATATTAGGAAGTATGAAGAGATTAAAAAAAATTAAATTCTGTTGTAAATTCCAGGTTTGTCTGAAAGAACATAGATATATTAAGCTAGAAGTAGGCATGGGTAAGGGGGGAAAGCCCAAATATTTGTCAAATATACAATGCTAATCATTAACAGTGCTATAGAGGCATTTTTCCTAAGGCTAGTGTATCAGTATTCTGCAGTGAGAACTACAGAGAAAAGAAAAACATGTGACAATATTGTTTCAGAGGTTTACGTCTGCCTGGTTTGAATAGCAAAAAACCTTCTTCAGAGGAATCCATTATATTGGCCATAGCACATGAACATCTGATGGGAGAACTGTGTCAAAGGGCCTGAGCACATTAACTGTTTAACATATAACAGTTCTTCAGCTGTCAGGTAAAATAAGTTGTTTCATGATTTATGATCAGCACAAAAGTTATCAAGCTTCCCTCTTAAGCGCAGTCACCTAAAAGTACAAACTAATGGCAAATTAAAAGCAATAAGGACTTCCAAAAGGTGCAAAACCCCGATGTTTCCATCCATTAAAAGCTCTTTCTGCTTCACAAAGTAGAATAGTAAGTGTTTTCTGGGTTCCAGGAAATCAAGTGTTAATGCTACACAAGTGTAAGTCTACCTAGAAGGAGTGACTACTTGCTTATTTGATACGCAGGTTTTGTTTGGCAAGCTTCCCTTCTCTGGGGATGAATCAGGGAACACAATTCTTTCTCGTGAGGTGGGGGGAGGGAGGACCAGAGCATGACGTTTACCCTCACGTATTCACTGCTGAGCTCTAAAGACAGCATTTAGAAGTCAAAAATGAAGAGAAACACTACATGCTACACCTCACTTGGAACACCCCCACTGAAATCCTGTTGCATCCACCTGAACTTTTATTATTTTCCAATTGCTTCAGTATCCTTCTTTCACAACAGACAAGGGCTGCCAGTTTGGGTACGTGACCTTGCAGTCAGCTGTGCCACTGAAGTGTACAAAACAAATCTTACTCTCAGCATATGTGCAAAGTAAAAATTTCTTACTGAGCACATTTTCAATCTTGTTACTTAAGTAGAAGACTAAGAGTGTGTCCACAAAACTGCTCATGAAAAGATTCACCTGCTTCCATAGGCTGCCTTGCTCCAGCATAAAAACGTTCCCATGCGGAGAAGAGGTGTGACAGCTGTCCCTACCTAAAGGGGCATCATCTCCTGCTTTCACTTCAGGTTCAAACAATTGCCAATGGCCTCTCACCTTCAAACAAATTTCTTCCTATTTTTGACAGATGATTCCCTCATTATATTTCCTCCCTTTACCACCTTTAAACTTTTATTGTATAATTCTTTATCTTTGACAGAGAAGACAACGTCTCCTAATCCTTATTTTTCCTAACACATCCCTGTCACTGCAGGGATATAACCTTGGGCTGACTGTTAAGCTTTGGAGTACACCAGTAACCCCACCACCTAGAATACTGGAAGTTATATGAACCAGTGGACACAGAGACCAAACCAATCCTATATTTACAATACCCATCACAGTTAGCATCTAGATAAGACACAGAAGAAACACAAAGCTACAGAACAGCGAGAAGGTATTTTGTACGTAGCAAGTAACAACATAAACCTCACAGAAACCTAAAAAGGTAGGGAAAAAAATAGCCATGAACATAACAAGCATTGTTTCGTAGTTCTGCCAGCATCCCTGTGACACACACGCAAACCGTCCCTCCCTCCGGACACTGCGACCCAGGGGAACCAGTGCGTGTGCCCAGAGAGCAGCAGTGGTCCTTCCCTGAAAACCTAGTACCTTCCCGAGAGCTAACTCCCCACGCTGTTAGTCTCAGGATACTGTTCTTGAGGCTGAATGGCCTGGTCTAAAACTCACCACTACTACACCTGCATTTGTAGAGCAAAGGAGGAGGCAGGACACAGGGCCTGAAGTCTTACAGGAGGGCAGGAGAAGCCCCTTCCCCTGTCAGCAGCAGCAAACCACTGGGTTAAGGAGCAAAGCTACTCTTCAGAAAACCCCAACACAACTAACGACAGCTACATGGGACTCACAAACAGTGAGGGAGTACTTCGTAGCTACTTCACCCAAAAAAATTCTCAAGGCATTAACAAACTGCGCTGTGCACCTGCTGTTGAGCATATCCAGTGGTGACTTCCTACACAGGAAAGTACTCTGCATCCTGCCTTACCAAAACAAGGTAAAAATTATGTTAAAAACCAAGCAAACAAACAAGAAAACCCCAACAACAAAACGACTTAGTGGAATGCAGATATGCCCTTCACACTGCTTCAGAAGATCACAGAGGCTTCTGGCTTCCCCATTTCACTACTTGTATTGGGTTTGTGTGGCAAGGTTTTGGTAGCGGCAGGGGAGTTACAGGGGTGGCTTCTGTGAGAAGCTGCTAGAAGCTTCCCCTATGTCCCATGGAGCCAGTACCAGCTGGCTCCAAGACAGACTCACCACTAGCCAAGGCCAAGCCCATCAGCAATAGTTGTAGCGCCTCTGTGATAACATATTTAAGAAGGGAAAAAAGTTGCAGTGGGCACAGAAACTTCAGCTGGAGAGATGAGTGAGAACACGTAAGAGAAACAACCCTGCAGACACCAAGGTCAGTGAAGGAGGAGGAGGAGATGCTCCAGGCGCTGGAGCAGAGATTCCCCTGCAGCCTGTGGTGAAGACCCTGGTGAGGCAGGCTGTCCCCCTGCAGTCCAGGGAGGTCCACAGCGGAGCAGATATCCACCTGCAGCCCATGGAGGACCCCACACAGTAGCAGGTGGATGCCCAAAGGAGGCTGTGACCCCGAAGGAAGCCCACATTGGAGCAGGCTCCCGGCAGGACCTGTGCACCCCTGGAGAGAGAAGCCCACACTGGAGCAGGTTTGCTGGCAGGACTTGTGACCCCGCAGGGGACCCATGCTGGAGCAGTGTGCTTCTGAAGGACTGCATGCCATGAAAGGGACCCATGCTGGAGCAGTTCATGAAGAACTGCAGCCCGTGGGAAGGACTCACGTTGGAGAAGTTCGTGGAGGACTGTCTCCCGTGGGAGGGACCCCACACCGGAGCAGGGGAAGAGTGTGAGGAGTCCTCCCCCTGAGGAGGATGAAGCAGCAAAGACAATGTGTGATGAACTAATCGTAACCCCCACTCCCCATCCTCCTGCGCCACTGGCAGGGGATAGGTAGAGAATTCAGGAGTGAAGCTGTGCCTGGGAAGAAGTGGGGGGAGGTTTTTTAAAGATTTGGTTTTATTTCTCATTACCCTGCTCTGGTTGATTGGCAATAAATTAAGTCGAGTCTGTTTTGCCTGTGACAGTAATCTGTTGAGTGATCTCTTCCCATCCTTATCTCGATCCATGAGCCCTTTGTTTTATTTTCTCTCCCCTGTCCAGCTGAGGAGGGGAGTGATAGAGCAGCTTTGGTGGGCACCTGGCCCCCAGGCAGGGGCAACCCACCACACTACTCTATTAGGCAGAAAGCAATCTACCAGATTTCCACAGCAATATACACCTGTGCGCAGAGAGAAGCTGCAAAGATGTCCCACACAGGAACCAAAATGGCACTTAAGATGAACATGCCAAAAGCCAACACCTACGCGCACCGCGAGCTTCCCCCCTTCCCCAGCACCCTAATTTAAATACCTCTACAAACAACATCAGCGTTTATCTACACAGGCACCCCGGAGACTTGTTATCCAAACCCACCGACGCGTGACCGGAGCCCGGGTACGGCCTGTGCTCCCCGGGCACGGGGGAGAGAGTAGGGACTTGGGGGGGGGGGGAGGACCGAGGGTCCTCGCCCAAGGCAGGCCCGAAACCGCCCCGGAGGCGTTTGGCGGCGGGGGCACGCACCAGTCCGGCCGGAGGAGGCGAGAGCTACGCGGACCGGACCCTGCCCGCGGCGGTCGGGGTCCTTCGGGGAACGGTGGAACCGGGGGATAAGGAGAACAGAGGAAACCCCTCGGCCGAGCAGAGGAGGGGGAGCGGCGGGCGGCCCCACCGGCCCC